TAAGTAAATATCTTTCTTGTATTCTCTGCTTTCAACCAAGATCCATCAGCAATGATATCCCTCGTTCCACGTCCTCTTCTGAATCCAGCTTGAATTTCTGGCAGTTCTCCATTGATGTACTGCTGCAACTGTTTTTTAATTATCTTCAGCAAAATTTTTACGTGCATGTGATATTAATGATATTGTTCCATAATTTCTGCATTCTGTTGAATCAACTTTCTTTGGAACGGAGACAAATATGGGTCTCTTAGAGTTGGTTGGCCAGGTAGTTGACTTCAAAATTTCCTGGCATAGACGAGCGAGCACCTCAGCACTGCATCCATTTGTTGAAACATCTCAATTGATATTTCATCAATTGCTGGAGCCTTATTTCTCATCAATGCCTTCCGTGCAGTTTGGCTTCCTTCTTCAGTACCATAGTTTCCTGAGCATATGCTACTTCCTAAAATGGTTGAACATCGACCAATTCTTTTTAGTAAAGTGACTCTTGTGTATTCCTTTCATCTTCTTTTTAGCTAATCTTAAATGTTAATATTTAATAAACATTGCACAAACTTGACTGGCAACTAAACATGCCCCCAAGTTATCATTTTTTTGTTATTTTGTAACAGCTTTATTGAGATATAATTAACATACAATACAACTCACCCACTTAAAGTGTAATTTTCCAGGTTTTTTAGACTATCCACAGGGTTGTGCAACCATTACTACAATATAATTTTAGAACATTCCTTCCCAGAAGAAACCCTGTACCCATTAGCATTCACTCCTCCCTCCCCCTTCCTTCCACTCCCTGGCCAACAACTAATTTACTTTCTGTCTGTATAGATTTGTCTATTTTGGACATTTCATATAAATGGACTCATATAATACGCAGTCTTTTGTGACTGGCTACTTTCACTTACAACACTGTTTTCAAGTATTACCCATGTTGTAGTCTGTATCGGTAGTTCATTCCTTTTTGCCAAGTTATCTTTTACAATTAGTACCAATAATTCCATCCACACTTTGGAAATATCAAGACCACGTGAAAGGAAACGTATTGTTAAAGCTCCATATTCTGAAATACTCAGGTTCATTTTTAAGAATGAAACAAAAGAGCAGGACTAGCACACCGGGAGCCATTCCCATCTCACCAGAGCTCTTCTGCTTTGGAGTAGACCTCAGCCCCACCCCCTCCCCTCTTGGATTTTGGATAGAGTACTATCCAAGAGTATACTATGGATTTTGCTGCTGTTGAATTTGTTCATTTACTTATCTGTTTCTCTCACTAGAATACAAGTCCCATGAGAGCAGGAATTTTCATCTGACTCATTCACTACTATTATCACCAGTGCATAGACAATGCCTAGCACCCAGGACACACTCAATAAATATCTGTGGGAGGGATAAATAAAGACACATTGTCTTGTCATCAGGGCCCTGGGTGGTGAAAGCAGTTTATGGTTAGTTACTAACCTAAAGGTAAGCAGTTCAAACCCACCCAGTGTTGCCATGGAAGAAAGGCTTGACGATCTGCTTCCATAAAGATTACAACCAAGAAAACTCTATAGAGCAGTTCTACTCTGTAACACATACGATTGCCATGAGTCGGAATCGACTCAATGCAATGGGTTTGGTTTGGTTTTTTTGGTCCTGTCAGCTACCAATAGCAATACTCTCTTTGCTTACCATTTGCCAATTTCATGTATTTTCATCCTTCCTCATGAACTTGGATTTTAGTCAAACACCTTGACTATTGTTGCTTCATCTTCCACTAGATAATCTGTGAGTTTGTCATACAGCTCAGAATAGCAACTTTTATGATAACTTCTGACACCACTTCACCCTCTAAGTAAATTGCTTTTTCCTATCAGGCATCTGCCTCTCGCTTTCATTAACTGCAGTATTCTTCTAATTGCTCTGTGCTGCAGTCATGGAGATAGGAAAAGGGGGAGTTCCAAAAAACAGTTGTTTTTCTCTTCTTTATAGAAAAGTGCTTGAAATCAAAAGTGCTACTAAAAAAAACTCTCAACGGCACACACACACACAAAATCTCCAATCTGCTTAAGCGTTCTGCAGAGAGGCAAAGGTATTTTTGGGAATGTGTGGGAAGGAGAGCCCAGTGCAATCTCATAGGATTCCCAGGCCTGATTCCCCAGACAATGCTTCTGCAGAACTGAAAGTGGAACAGACTGTGGGATGGCAGAAAGGTTTACAGAGATATAGGATGAGGACAGGAAATACATCAATCAACACACTTAATACTCAGGTAAGGTTGGAAACAATTGGTGGTTGTGCTCAGTTTCCCAATGGAATCTTGGGCAACTCAATTAACCTCTTTCTGCCACATTCTTATCACTTATAAATTGAGTACAACAACCTACCTAGCAGAGATTGCAGAGGGATTTGCTAATAAATGTGAGTAGACAGCTATATGTGTGATATCTAATAATATTATGTTAACTAGCATAAAATCATAGGGCAACAAGGGACTCAGGAGGTCAATCTAGACATTTCACATGGGTACACAGTTAAATCATTCCAGAGGGATTAGGTTCTAATCCTTTATAAAAGATATCTACATAAAGGCATTCCCAGAAAACTCTTCTTTGTCACAGGATTCTTCCTTAAGTTTAAGACATCCTGATTCTGCCACATTAGTATGCTGTGCTTCTCCTCTCTGTGTGTGGGAAGGACACTAGCAGCTGTACTAATTCTTAATAGGTGGCTGCACCCTTCAAAGATCAAAATAGAGTTGTATAATGGTTAAGAGCATGGGTTTTGGAGTCAGGCTGACCGTGGCTCCCATCAGACTCTATTCCTTGTTGGCTACATGACTTTGAGCAAGTTACAGCCTTAACCTCTTGAGCCTCAATTTCTTCTCCTATAAAATAGTTGCAGCATTGACACCATAAAGCTCTTATTAGAAGTAAGTGAGAAAAACAAGTAAGGCACTTCTCACAGTGCCTGGCTCATGGTGGGTACCAAACAGATAACATTACAGTCTGTAACAATAACAATACAGAATTTATTCAGAAATTCTCTACTTGAGAATTTGCCTACTTGCTAAAACTTCTTTGTAACCCACAAATCAATATTTGCAGCATTTTCACAGTTATTTATGGACATGCTCAGAATGGCAAAAAATTTGAGTTCCTTGGCAAACGCATTCCCACTTGAGGTTGAAAAAGGATGGTTCAATATTCGCTGATTCAGTGTTCCTGGTGACTGGTAAAGGAGCCCTGGTGGAGCAGTGAGTAGTTAAGCACTTAGCTGCTAACCAAAAGGTCAGCAGTTCAAACCCACCAGCTGCTCCATGGGAGAAAGATGTGGCAGTCTGCTTCTGTAAAGATTACAGCCTTGGAAACTCTAGGGGGCAGTTCTACTCTGCCCTATAGCATTGCTCTGAGTCGGAATCAACTCAACGGCAATGGGTTTCGTTTTTAATTTTTTGGTGACTGGTAGCTACTGCAAATAACAAGAATCAACTGTATTTTCTAGGCTGAATAACATTGGTTACTCTAATTTTTACTTACAGTTCTAATTTTTAAAGTTTACAATGAAAAATATAAGATAAGGGAAAGATTTATATATATATATAGATATAGATATAGATAAATATATACATACTTTTTTTTTAGGTAGCTAGTGAGTCAAACAATTCACACAACAGCAAGGCAGTTCCTTGCAGGGGAAGAGAGAAATCTTACCTACCTCCCAGGAAACTATATCCTTCCCCTTCATCCCCTCCACCACCCATGGACAACCCTGGCTATCGAGTCAAATTATTCAGGATGGCATCAATTCTTTGTAGATGATGGGCCAAGCCAATGGCAGGAATCACTTCTCAATTTTAATAGAAGTCCACATTTTGCCTGGAAGGGACACATTCATATTCAGAATGAAATTAGAAGAAATAATAAATGGAATTCTACAACAGGCTCTTGGTCTTTCTTAGCTATCCATACTAATACGTGAAAGAAATCCTGTGTAGAACTTCTGAGAGTGTAAATTTTGGGGGAGGCTGGGTGAGAGGGACTAGCCCTTTAAGGTCATCTATTATTCACAACCTTGCTTGCTGAAGTGGACTTGAAGCACTTACTGATGAAGATCAAAGACTATAGCCTTCAGTATGGATTACTCCTCAACATAATGAAAACAAACATCTTCACAACTGGACCAATAAGCAACGTCATGACAAACAGAGAAGATACTGAAGTTGTTAAGAATTTCATTTTACTTGGATCCATAATCAATGCCCACAGAAGCAGCAGTGAAGAAATAAAATAACGTATTGCAAAGGGCAAATCTGCTGCAAAAGACCTCTTTCAGGTGTTAAAAAGCAAAGATGTCACTTTGAGGACTAAGGTGCGCCTGACCCAAGCCATGGTATTTTCAATTGCCTCATATCCATGCAAAAGCTGCACAATGAAAAAGGAAGACCGAAGAAGAATTAACGCGTTAGAATTATGGTGTTGGCGAAGAATATCAAACACACTATGGATTTCCAGGAGAATGAGCAAATCTGTCTTAGAAGAAGTACAGCCAGAGTGCTCCTTAGAAGCAAGGATGGCAAGACTGCATCTTATGTACTTTGGACATGTTATCAGGCGGGACCAATCCCTGGAGAAGGACATCATGCTTTGTAAAGTATAGGGTCAGCGAAAAAGAAGAAGACCCTTAATGAGATGGATTGACACAGTGACTGCAACAATGGGCTAAAACAGAAAAAATTGTGAGATGGCACAGGACCAGGCAGTGTTTCCTTCTGTTGTACATAAGGTCACAATGAGTCAGAATCAACTCAATGGCACCTAACAACAACAACATTCACAAAGGGAGAGAGGGCATCAGTGAGGGCCACTCTTTTGCATGTCAGTCTTCTGCTTCATCCACAAGCATCCTAGAGCCATTCTTATACAAAAACAAAGTTCTTCCTGGCTTTGGTCTCACCTCACAGGATCCCAAGAGGTAAGCCTAGAAGCTACCTAATGTTTTCTCAAACCATTCTTACTCACCTTCACACAGCCCAGTGTTCTCCAAGTAAAACTGGGCTCTACACTGGGATAGACACTTGCCAGAGGGGACATCTGCCCCAGACAGCTGCTCGACTTGCAATCCTTCCTCTGGCGTCTTACACTGGGTACAGTGAGAGGGCTCTGGACCCACACAAGTCAGGCATGAGGAATGACAGGCTGCACAGAGGAACATAATGCAGAAGACAATCACAAGGATCACATATATGTTGCAACCAAGGACAGTGCATGAAATCAAAACCACTTAGAAAAGTTCACCAGATTCATCCTTCCAGAATATTCTTTTTCTAGTTTCTATACAAAGCATAGGGGCGACAACAGTAATATTTGTGGGAGGCAAAATGAGGGTGATGTTAACTAGTCACAGCTCTCAAGTCCTTCAAGAACTATCAGGCTAGATTATGAAAAAATCAGCAAAATAGACAATATTGGCATAGTTCTCCAGAGAAACACATTCAGTGAATAACAATTTAACGTTATGCCCTCGTTTTTTACTAAGGGTTTTAAGAAGCATTCATATGAAGGACATTACTGTGTCTTTTGCAAAAATGGCTGTTGTGTTACTGTCCATTATGCCATCCAACATCCATTATACAGGGTTCGAGGCAACAAATTCCTCTTAGAATTTAGATGGTGAAAGAGTGCTTTTCTAGACAGGCATCATTTGAGTAGCAACAACAATTTCAGAACCTATCACGATTTCTTATTTTCCCTGGCTACTGGTGAAAATCAGAGCCAAATACAGTACTCAAGCTATCTCATGCCTACATTTTGATACAATTAACTCTCCTTTCAAATGTTTCTCTAGATTTTATTTTTCAAAATATTTATTGTAGCTGCCCTGTTTTAAATATGTTTTCTCAAACTATCCTCAAACTCTTTTTCTAAGGTGGCCAACATATAAATAAATAAAAATTAATTTCACTTAATTAAAGTGTTTGTTCCCGATGTTCTAGTTTCAAAAGGCTCTAATGATACTGCCCTCCTCATGAGCCCAAAGCCTTCTTTGGCAAACAGCTATTTAGAATTTTCCATCTTACTCAGCCCAGAGGCACTGCTGGTGATTCTAAGTTTGCTCAGCAGTATCATTAGCAAAATGAAGTTCTTCAGGGAAAAACAAAATGAAGGCGAATTAGCAATGCTAGGAGAGTGGATAAAGGAGGAAATAAGAACTTTGTTTTGTTTTAATGTACACTAAAGGAAACAATATTGTCAGAAAATTCACAAACTTTTGGGCATTTTCACAAATATTCAAAAGTGATTTTTCAGATTATTCCTTCTCAAACCTACTGTAATGTGGCCATATAAGCTACGCTGGATGAAAAGCGGTACTGAAAAGTAACGGCATTGGAAAAATTAAATACGTCTTCGTGATGGGAAAGTCTGTTAAGAGTGACAGTGACACTAACAGTACCTTTGCAGACCCCATGGTCAGGGTAGAAGTCCTCTCCACAGCTGGGCAGACAGTGGCCTTGGCGCAGCACGTGGGGGTGGGCGCAGGCTATACAGTGAGAGGCCGTAGGTCCAGAGCAGCTGGCACATGAGTTATGACAAACTGAGGAAGAAGATGAGAGGCAAACCCAATGAGGCAGGTGACTAAAGAACCACTTCATGGCTGGGAGTCTTATGTGCTAGGAATCTCTCACCTCTAGATTCCAAATCCCTCTTCAGATGCAACACCAAACCAAGGAAAAAAATGTTGGGAGGTGATTATACTGCCAGAACTACCACACAGCCCCTTTACTCACTTTTTACCATGGTATACTTATTATTTATTCCAGTCCAGCTGTTGTCACTGTGACTCTAACTCATGGCAACCCCGTATGTGTCAGAGTAGAACTGTATTCCATAGGGTTTTCAGTGGCTGATTTTTCAGAAGTACGTCACAAGGTCTTTCTTTCAAGGTGACTCTGGGTGGACTTGAACTTCCAACCTTTCAGTTAGCTGCTGAGAACATTAACAGTTTGCACCACCCACGGACTAACCTATCCTTTATTTAGTGTTTGTATTAAGTGTTTTATGTACAGTATCACTTTTCATCCTCATAACAATGTTATGAGGTAGGTATTATTAACCACATTATACAAATGAAGAAACTGAGGTCTTAGGAGTTTAAAAATTTTGCCCAAGATCACAGGGCCCATTATTTGCAATTCTGGGATGTAGCCTTATGACTGTCTTGACCAAAAACTGATACTGTCCAAATAGCAAACAGTGGAAAGTTCAAGGGTCTGGGTGTTGGGAGCACTGGGAATTTTGTCTAGCTCATCTACTCACTCATCTATGCTCTAAGTCTGGGTCTCTCCAGGCCTAGGTCCCTTTGCATATGCAAAGTGAGAGGTTGGACTAAATGACTGTTTAAGATACTTTCAGCTTTACCATTCTATGATTCTAAGTAAGAATTACTTTAAAGAACCTCACTACCACACATGACAATGCCAGAAACCCGTCTCCCCTGCTCGGGCCCTGTGCCGTGACAGTGGGACACCTCTTAACTTTAAGAGATGGGTGGTAGTACTCAAAGCCTGGACCAGTCCTTTGGCAGGGCTGGAGACAAGAGTGAGAAGAGGACTCTGGAGGACAGTGGTCAAGAGCTCGGGGGGAGACTGTGGAGACAGGATGAGAGCCTGGAGGCGGTGTGCTGGGGAAAGAGGAAGAATGCTGGGTGAGTACAGAGGTTGACAGACCAAGGGGAAGTGGATGAGGAAACATGGCGAGAAATGTCTTGCCACTAACAGTCACTAAGTACAAGTGAGAATGTGTGTGTAAATTTTGGACAGGAGGAGCAATCAAGGAGTCCCAGGCAGCAATAAGTTCTCAGAGTTTCCTGTAACAAAGACACAAGTCAAGCATATAGAAGTTACAGACTTATAAAGTCTCAAATGACAGTATTTAATAGTTTAGTTTGCGTAATCACTCATCTATTGGTTTGCTATATTGTGGTGGCTTACATGTTGCTGTGAGGCTGGAAGCTATGCCACTGGTATTTCAAATACCAGCAGGGTCACCCATGGTGGAGACAGGTTTCAGTGGAGTCTCCAGACTAGGATGAACTAGGAAGAAGGGCCTGGGGATCTACTTCTAAAAGAGACTGGCCAGTGAAAACATTATGAGTAGCAGCAGAACATTGTCTGACATAGTGCCGGAAGATGAGCACCTCAGGTTGGAAGGCACTTAAAATACAACGGGGAAAGAGCTGCCTCCTCAAAGTAGAGTCGACCTTAATGACGTGGCTGGAGTAAAGCTTTCAAGACCTTCATTTGCTGAGGTAGCATGACTCGAAATGAGAAGAAACAGCTGCAAACACCCATTAATAATTGGAAAATGGAATGTATGAAGTATGAATTTAGGAAAATTGAAAGTTGTCAAAATGAAATGGAATGCTTGAAGATAGATATCCTCGGCATTAATGAGCTGAAATGGGCTGGTATTGCCCATTTTGAATCAGACAAGCATATGGGCTACTATGCCGGGAATGACAAATTGAAGAGGAATGGTAACACATTCATTGTCAAAAAGAACATTTCAAGATCTATCCTGAAGTACAAGGCTGTCAGTGATAGGATAATATCCATACACCTACAAGGAAGACCTGTTAATATAACTATCATTCAAATTTATGCACCAAACACTAATGCCAAAGATGAATAAATTGAAGATTTCTACCAACTTTTGCAGTCTGAAATTGATCAAACATGCATTCAAGGTGCATTGATACTTACCGGTGATTGGAATGCGAAAGTTGGAAACTAAGAAGAAGGAGCAGCAGCTGGAAAATATGGCTGTGGTGATAGAAACAATGCCGGAGAGCGCATGATAGACATTTTTCTAGACCAATGACCTATTAATTGGAAATACCTTTTTTCAACAACGTAACTGATGACTATACGCCTGAAACTCGCCAGATGGAATACACAGGAATCAAACTGACTATATCTCTGGAAACAGAAGATGGAGAAGCTCAATATAATCGGTCAGCAAAAGGTCAGAAGCCAACTGCAGAACAGACCATCAATTGCTCATACTCAAGTACAAGTTAAAGCTGAAGAAAATTAAAACGAGTCCATGAGAGCCAAAGTACAACCTTGAGTATATCCCACCTGAATGTAGAGACCACACTGAACACTAATGACCAAAGACCAGATGAGTTGTAGAATGACATCAAGGACATCAGACATGAAGAAAGCAAAAAGGTCATTAAAAAGACAGGGAAGAAATAAAAGATCAAAAGGAATGTCGGAAGAGACTCTAAAACTTGCTCTTGAATGTCGAGTAGCTAAAGCGAATGGAAGAAATGACGAAGTAAAAGGGCTAAACTGAAAATTTCAAAGGCTGGCTCGAGAACACAAAGTATTATAATGATATGTGCAAAGACCAGCAGTTAGAAAACCAAAAAGGAAGAATACACTCAACATTTCTCAAGCTGAAAGAACTCAAAAGTTTGAGTCGCAATAGTGAAGGATTTTATGGGCAATATATTGTACGATGCAGGAAGCATCAAAAGCAGATGGAAGGAATACACAGAGTCACTGTAGCAAAAAGAATTGGTTGACATTCAACCATTTCAGGAGGCAGCATATGATCAAGACCTGATTGTACTGAATGAAGAAGTCCAAGCAGCACTGAAGGCATTGGTGAAAAACAAGGCTCTAGGAATTGACAGAATAACAACTGGGATGTTTCAACCAACAGGAACAATGCTGGACGCACTCACTTGTCTATGCCAAGAAATTTGAAAGACAGCTTCCTGGCCAACTGACTGGAAGAGATCCTTATCTGTGCCCATTTCAAAGAAAGGTGATCCAACAGAATGCAGAAAATATCGAACAATATTATTATCACATGCAAGTAAATTTTGCTGAAGATAATCCAAAAATGGTCGCAGCAGTACATCGACAGAGAACTGCTAGAAATTCAAGGCGGATTCAGAAGAGGATGTGGAACTAGGGATATCATTGCTGATGTCAGATGGATCTTGGCTGAAAGCACAGAATACAAGAAGGACGTCTACCTGTTTTTTTTTCGACTATGCAAAGCCATTCGACTGTGTGGATCATAACAAATTATGGATAGAATTGCAAAGACTGGGAATTCCAGAACACTTAAATGTGCTCATGCCGAACCTGTGCATAGACCAAGAGGCAGTCATTAGAACAGAACAAGGAGCTACTTCATGGTTTAAAACCAGGAAAAGTGTGCGTCAGGGTCGTGTCCTTTCACCATACTTATTCTATCTGCATGCTGAGCAAATAATTCAAGAAGCTGGACTATACAAAGAGAATGCGGCATCAGGATTGGAGGAAGACTCATTAACAACCTGCGATATGCAGATGACACAACCTTGCTTGCTGAAAGTGAAGAGGACTTGAAGCACTTACTGATAAAGATCAAAGACCACAGTTATCAGTATAGATTACGTCTCAACATAAAGAAAACAAAGATCCTCACAACTGGACCAATAAGCAACATCATGATAAATGGAGAAAAGCCTGAAGTTATCAAGGATTTAATTTTATTTGGATCTACAATCAATGCCCATGGAAGGTGCAGTCAAGAAATCAAATGATGTATTGCATCGGGCAAATCTGCTACAAAGGACCTCTTTAAAGTGTTAAAAAGCAAAGATGTTACCTTGAGGACTAAGGTGCGCCTGACCCAAGCTATGGTATTTTCAATCACCTCACATGCATGTGAAAGCTGGACAATGAGTAAGGAAGACCGAAGAAGACTTGACACACTTGAATTATGGTGTTGGAGAAGAATACTAATTATACCATGTACTGCCAGAAGAAGGAACAAATCTGTCTTGGAAGAAGTACAGCCAGAATGCTCCTTAGAAGCAAGGGTGGTGAGACTTCATCTCACGTACTTTGGGCGTGTTATTAGGAGAGACCAGTTGCTGGAGAAGGACATCATGCTTGGTAAAGTACAGGGTCAGCAAAAAAGAGGAAGACCCTCAACGACATGGATCGACACAGTGGCTGCAACAGTGGGTTCAAAGACAGCAACAATAGCAAGGATGGCGCTGAACCAGGCAGTATTTCGTGCTGTTGTACATGGGGTCACTGTGAGTCAGAAACAACTCGACAGCACCTAACAACAAGTCTAAAAGAAGCAATACATAAGTAGCATATACTAAACAAACTTTCATTTGATAGAGACTTAACCTTTGCTAGCTATCAAAATTGGTTTACCTTTTTTTTGTGTGATGTGTTGCAGTTGCCAATATATGAGTTTATAAATACCATCTAAGGAATAATTCTGTCACAGCTATAACCAAAGTTAGTGATGGTTGACAAGTAGACAGGGCAGTATGAAGCTCTTAAATATATTTTTGACATTTCAAAGGAGTCTAACGATCTCTAATTATGATTGACATGCAGAAGTCCTTCATTTAATCACTCTAGTCCTCCAGCATCCACCCATATCTCCCACTGTTATGTTGAATACACATAGGTTCTATAATGAAACAACTATTCCTTTTAACATAACATTTTCCCAACATGCACACAAATTCCCAAATGAGCAGGACATAGCACCAAATATAGTCAAACATGCATTAAATACTTTTTGGTGATGATCATGATTACCCATGTCTTACCTTTGCATTTGCTAGTGGTATCAGCATAGTACCCACCAGGACATTCAGAAATGCATTTCCCATCAAGCAACACTGTCTTCTCAGTACAGGTAAAACATCTGGGACTATCAGGGCCACAGCTCTTACAGGATTGGTCACAAGCTGAGGGGGAGGAAAAGCCATCCAAGAAATGCAATAGTGAGCAAAAGGAGTAATGAGTCTATTCTTGACGACATCCACAATTGGTACCAATATAGCAATGTCATTCTCTGGCTGCTCAGCTGAGTTCTGTTTCCTTGATTCCAACATTTCAAGAGACTTGACTGTGTTTTCACATTTGAAGGAGAACTGAAGAATTATTCACTGAACTCTGCATAACAAATATGCTGAGGCACATCCAGCAGTGTAACCAATTTGATATGGGATTTAAAGATAAAATGGCCTTGGAAGTAGGGGTGCCAGATACAGCAAATAAAAATACAAGATGCCCATATAAATTGAAATTTCAGAGAAACAATGAATAATTCTTTTAGTATAAGTATGTCTGAAACATTTTATCCTTTACCTGGCAAGTCTACTTGGAGGGAGAATTCAGAAATTCAGGGTTCCACTAAGCAACGTCAGGCTACTAAAATTATGTGGAAATTGTTAACTTCATATAATGTTCTAGGATCTGCTCAATCACTTATTCATTCATGTACCCCAAAATAATATTTATTAAGCTCTGTGTCAGGTACTCTGCCAGTGGTGCCTATAAACCAGTTGTCATCAAGTCAATTCTGACTCATGGTGACCCCATGTCTTGCACAGTAGAACTCTATTCCATAAGGTTTTTATGGCTGTGACTTTTTAGATGCAGACTGCCAGGCCTTTCTTCTGAGGTACCTTGGGGTGGACTGAACTGCCAGCCTTTCAGTTATCAGCCAATACTCCTGTGGCAAGTGGTAGTGACACAAAAAACAAATCAGCATGGTCTTTGCTTTAAGGGGCTTATTCTGATAGAGGGAGAGAGATATGTAAAATACTGGAAATATTAAAGGTATCACTCATATAAATCCATATAGGCACAGTGAAATGTTTGAAAAACAGAAGCGAGGTAGGAGGTAGGAAACTTGTTCCATGAGCACTGACATTGTCTTCCAACTGGCCCTCCAACTCTTGTTCCTTGCCCCTCTAAGCTACATTCCAAACTGAAGTCAAAGTAATTTTTCTCATATGCAAATGTATCCATCCTTCTACAGTGTTTAAAACTTTGCTGAGCCTCCCAGTGCCTACCACAAATTAAGAATCTAGGCAAAACAGTCTGGTACACAAGTCTTTCCATGATCTGGCCCCTGCCACTTCTCCACCCCAATGGAACTGCAGGTTCCCTGAACACTTCAGGATCTTCCCAGACTCTGAGCCTTTCCTGGTGTTGCTGCTTCAGCCTGGAATGCTTTTCCCCATTTTGTCAGCATGGCATGTTCCTGCTTGCTTTCCAAGATGATGCTCAAAGATCACTTCCGTAAATCCAAGTTGATCAGGGGGGTTGAATCAGGGCAGCAGTACAGGTGATGGATTTGAGAGGTATGAAGAAGCAACTATGTTCTGTATTACAGCCCAGACTCCCCCAAAACCAACAAAAATCAAATGCACTGCCGTTAAGTCAATTCTGATTCATGGCTCTGCCATTGCTAAATTAGTTGGCTCCTTTTAAGCCTCACTTTCTTCATCTATGAAACGGCAGTAAATGTATGTAAATCCACAAATTTTCAATAAAGTTCTTGGTTGCAAGGAATTTTTAAACTACAAAGTTTCACAACATAAAAATATGAAATAAACATATATATACACCATACACATATATATATATACATGAATGATTGTAAGAAATTATGCCAAGATTAAAAGTGGTTATCTCAAGACGGAAGGGTTATCTGAAATTCAGATACACAGTGAATATTTTTGTATAGCCATGTAATGTTTGGGATATACTTATACTAAAAAAATTATTATTTTTTTTATTTGCTAAATCCTGTATTTTTATTTACTAAATCTGACAAACCTGGTAATGTGATTTTTTTCCTTCTTTTTCCCTTAACTGTGTTCAGGTGACACTGTGAAGGTGACAATTGTCTCAGATGATGTCCGGGGCCTGATTCAGGGAAACTGCGATGCCACTGACAGAATGCAAGAAGGCAAGCAGGTGCAGAGGATCATGATGACCACTTTTTGGAGATGTTCAGTGTAGTAAGCAGTCAAGTTTATAGTTCTGGGGCTCAGGAGAAATGTCCAGGGGTCATCACAATATAGGTAATCACTGAAGCCAGAAATGATGATTTACTTAGGAAAAGCATGAAGGATAAGACAAAAGTAGGAAAGGACCAACATTCAATGAAAAAAAATTTTTTTTTAAATTAAGAATAAGCAAAGTGCCCAAGAAGAAATGATACAAAGGTAGAAGGGAAAACAGAAGCATGGTGGCTGAGAAGCCAAAGGAAGAAGTTTAGGAGAGAAGTCATTAACAGTGTAGACAGGACAAATAAAGCCTGAACTGGGGTCGTTAAACTTAGAAATGAGGATATGGATGACCTGTGCCACAGTAGTTTCAGTGGAGTAGTTGGACAGAATGAAAGTGAAGGTCATGATCATAAACCGTGCTTCTAAAGGCTCCTGGCAGTGAACGGAGGGTATGGAGACAGAAATAATTAAAAAGGGAACAGGAGGAAGAGGGGGCATTTTGTCTTTCTAATATAGAAAAGACTTGAGCATATACAGATTCTGGGGAGGATTTTAAAAAAGGAAAGAGTTTGAATAATTGGTGAAAGAACAGTCTGCAAAAAAAGGGATTCCAAAGTACAGGTGGAGAGACTAGCCTTGAACAGAAGGGAAGAAATACACCAGTCTGCCAATTTGTCGTACTGTAGTGACTTGCACCATGCTGTGATGCTGGATGCTACACCATCAGTATTTCATATACCAGCAGCGTCACCCATGGTAGACAGGTTTCAGCAGAGCTTCTAGACTAAGACAGACTAGGAAGAAAGGCCTGGTGATCTACTTCTAAAAATTATCCAGTTGTCCAATATAGAGCTGAAAGATGAACCCTCTAGGTTGGAAGACACTCAAAATATACAGTGGTTGCAACAATGGACTGGAACATACCAACAATGGTGAAGAAGCTGCAGGTCCAGGCAATGTTTTGTTCTGTTGTACATAGGGTTGCCATGAGTCAGAAGTGACTCAACAACAACTAACAACACCAATATCTGAGCGTGAAAGAAGAAGTGAGACTGAGTGCAGCTGTAGGTAAATCTATGGCTCTATCTACACTCACTGTCGAAATTCCTAAAAAACAAACACTCAAACTTTCTCACTATCAGATAATCAGCTTTTTAGGAATAGAGTACTAGCATTTTATTATGTCTGCTCTCTTTGAATCCAACTACACCATGCTAACTTCCCGAAAAATATTTGAAGAAATTGAGAAAAAAGATGCTAAGTGATGGAGCCAAACTTTCCATCTTGCATCCTGGAGGATTCAGCATCTCTCTGGAAGCAAATATGTGAGGCAAGCTGATCTTCAGTAAATGGGCAAAGATAATTGCTTTAATATCAGAGAAAATGAAAATCATTCCCTTGGCTCATGACTGGAAAAAAGGAACAAAATGAGTCTGACCAGTCTCCTTCCATCCTCCATAAAAACTTCTGCAGCTTCAAATCTAGAACTGACTCTTCTCAACAGAACTGGATACCTGCAAGCTAAGTGGATTTTCTCAGAAATGAAGAATTGCAGAAATTAAAAAAGAGAACAAACATTTAGAACTGAATCACAATAAAAACATTACAAATAAAATATTTTAGAACATAGCTGACGGAGTACTTAGAGGGAAATTTGCTAATTTAACAAAATTACTAGGAAGATGCTATTTCTCCCCAAACTAATCTATAACTTCAATATATTATCAATAAAAATTCCAGTTGACTTACAAGCTTGCGAGTAGCCATTTAAGATATAACTGTTGGTCTCTACTCATCTGGAACAAAAAAGAATGAAGGAAACCAAAGACTCAAAGAAGAAACTAGTTTATAGGACTAATAGCCCACATGAACCATGGCCTCATCTAGCCTGAGACCAGAAGAACTAGATGGTGTTTGGCTACTGCTACCAACCTTTCTGACCAGGGACACAATAGAAGAACCTTGATAGAAAGGGAGAAAAATGTAGAACAAAACTCAAAATCCTAAAAAAAGGCCAGGCCTATTGGACCAACAGAGACTAGAGGAACCCCCAAGACTATCACCCTAAGATACCCTTTGAACTTGGAACTGAAGCCACTCTCGGTGATCACCTTTCATCCAAATAATAAATTGGCTTATAAAATGAACAATCGCCTGTGAATACTGTGCTCCCTTAAAGCATCAACTATATGAGACCAACGGTCAACATTTACCCTAAAACAAAGATGAGAAGCTAAGGAGGGGCAGGGAAGCTAGATTAACGGAAACAGAACAAACAGAATGGAAACAATGAGAATGTTGACACATTGTGAAAAATGTAACCAATATCATGGAACAATCTGTATAAAAATTGTAAAATGAGAACTTAATTTGCTATGTAAACTTTCACCTAAAATGCAATAAAATATATTTTTTTAATTCCAGTTGATTTTTTTAAAGAAATTCAATAAACTTGCTCTAAAGTCCATAAATAATTAAGTCAACGCTGAGATGAAGAAGAAAGAGAAAAAGGATTTGCCCACTCAGATATTGAGGCATACTACAGAGCAATAGAAATTAATGAACAAAACAAAACAGTGTGATACTGGTGCAAGAACAGACATTTAGATTACTGGAATAAAATATACAGCTCAGAAACATACCTGTGTGCATATGGGAATTTACACAATAAAGGTGGTTTCACAAATCAATGGAGAAGGATAGATTGAATTCCTAGATGGTACTAGAAAAACTGGCTCACAGATGGAGAAAAATAAAACTAAAGCCCTGCTTAGGCCCAAATACATAGGTGAAGTCCAGATAGATCAAAAATCTAAGTTAAGATAAAAACCATCAAATTAATAGAGGAAAATGTAGGAAAATTTCTTTGTTACCTCAGACGCAGATGAAGACTTCTTAAACAGAAGCTCAAAACAAAACTTTAAACCAAAATTGACAAGTCA